GTGTTTACTTCCTGTCTGTCTTCTCTGCTGTTCCCTTTAGTGTTTACTTCCTGTCTGTCTTCTTCTGCTGTCCCTGTAGTGTTAGCCATCATCTCCACAAATATAAAATGAATATTCCAAAGGTTTTCCGTGGTGTTTTCCAATGGATGAAAACTAAAAATGTAATAAGTGTTGATAATGACCTCTCCTCCTCCTCCTCTCCTCCTCTCCTCCTCTCCTCCTCTCCTCCTCTCCTCCTCCTCCTTTTCTTCCTGTTTCCAGGTGGATGAACAGTTGTCTATGCTTCAGCACGAGAAGGTGGACTTCCTGAAGAGACTGGAGGAAGACCAGGAGGATCTGAACGAGTTGATGAGAAGAAGCACAAAGCTCTGATCGCTCAGGTACCGCTCACTTCCTGTCTCTCTTTGCTTTACATCAGTCACTTCCTGTCTCTCTTTGCTTTACATCAGTCACTTCCTGTCTCTCTTTGCTTTACATCAGTCACTTCCTGTCTCCCTTTGCTTTACATCAGTCACTTCCTGTTGTAATCCTGATCTTTAATCTGAGCTCCTTTCTGCTTCAGTCCTCCAGCGATATCTCTCAGATCAGAGAGGTGCAGGCGGAGCTGGAGGAGGTGAAGAAGGAGAGATACGTCCTGCAGGAGGAGGTGAGCAGCGTGGAGGATAAGAGCTTTATATACAGAGAGGGCAAAGTACACACATCCTTTATTCAAGTAGAAGTTCAGATACTCGTGTTTAAAAATACTCTGGTGAAAGTAGAAGTACTGACTAAACTTCTTTACTCAAGTCAAAGTAAAGAGGCTTTGAAATGTACTTCAGTAAAAAGTACCCATAACTAGCAGCTGTTTTAAAGAGTACCTGACCTCCCTTTATATTAATAGAACAATAATGTCATTGTTAGCTAATGAATGTTTCCATGCTGAACAACGGCAACATGACAACGTTTTCATTGGTCCCTCTTCTTTAGAGAAGACCAGGAAATGATGGATACACGGATCGTGTTCAAATCAATAGGCACGCAATGACTCTAAAGAATAATGATCACGCCACCAAACACACATTCAAACTAAAGGAACCAGCCTGTTTGGGAAATGTGAGAAGTAGAAAGTACAGGTATTTGGGTTCAACATGTAAGAAGTAGAAAGTACAGGTATTTGTGTTCAACATGTAAGAAGTAGAAAGTACAGGTATTGTGTTCAACATGTAAGAAGTAGAAAGTACAGGTATTTGGGTTTCAACATGTAAGAAGTAGAAAGTACAGGTATTGTGTTCAACGTGTAAGAAGTAGAAAGTACAGGTATTTGTGTTCAACATGTAAGAAGTAGAAAGTACAGGTATTTGTGTTCAACATGTAAGAAGTAGAAAGTACAGGTATTTGTGTTCAACATGTAAGAAGTAGAAAGTACAGGTATTTGAGTTCAACGTGTAAGAAGTACAAAGTACAGGTATTTGTGTTCAACATGTAAGAAGTAGAAAGTACAGGTATTTGAGTTCAACATGTAAGAAGTAGAAAGTACAGGTATTTGTGTTCAACATGTAAGAAGTAGAAAGTACAGGTATTTGTGTTCAACATGTAAGAAGTAGAAAGTACAGGTATTTGTGTTCAACATGTAAGAAGTAGAAAGTACAGGTATTGGGTTCAACATGTAAGAAGTAGAAAGTACAGGTATTTGAGTTCAACATGTAAGAAGTAGAAAGTACAGGTATTTGTGTTATAAGTCAAAGTAAAAAGTGGTCAGAAAAATAAGTAGTGGAGTAAAGTACTGATACCAGAAACATGTACTTAAGTACAGTAACAAAGTATTTGTACTCCACTACTTCTCACCTCTGTTTATGTGATGGAGCATTAAACTCAGATATCACTGTGACTGCAGGCGGAGCATTACCTGAAGTAAAAGTCCAAATACTCCATAAAACGCTAAAGTTATGTGACAAAATCTCCCTTAACTAAAAGTACATATCAGGAAAAAGAACGTAAAGTATCAAAAGTCAATTTGTGATATACATATATCTATATATATATAGATATATGTATGTTTACATTAATTAATTATAAACATTAAATAAAGAAAATAAACATTAACAGTGAAATAGTAGAGTATCTCTATCAAATAATCAAATACGCAATATAAATATATAGAATAAATATAGTGGTATGTGTTTTAATGCAAAACCATACTTGGAAAAGTACACAACATTAAAGGTACATTATTTTCCGTGTGTTGAAATAACTAGATCTCATGGTGACTACAAGCTGCAGGTGGAGCACTCATTTCATATTCTCTGATGAATAGCTGCCTTATTGTTGCTTTTTAAATGTAATGTTTTTGTCTCCTCCTCCTCCTCCTCCTCCTCCTCCTCTTCCTCCCCATGCAGTTGCAGCAGCGTGTTTCCAGGGTGCAGTTCCTTGAGTCCTCCACTGTGGGGCGCAGCATCGTCAGCAAACAGGAAGCCCGAGTGTGTGACCTGGAGAACAAGCTGGAGTTTCAGAGAGGACAGGTCAAGAGGTTCGAGGTGAGGAAACACATTTCATCCTGACTGACTCCATTCCTGAGAGGAAAAGAATATTCTACTATAACACCTTTGTGTTTTTTTGAGAGAGAGAGAGAGAGAGAGAGAGAGAGAGAGAGGAGAGATGAGAGAGGATGAGAGCCGAGAGAGGAGAGAGAGAGAGAGAGAGAGAGAGAGAGAGAGAGAGAGAGAGAGAGAGACACAGAGAGGTATATATTTGAGCAGTTTGTTTATGTATTTGTGTATAGATGTTGCAACTACACAGAGCTTTAGCAATACTGTATGTAACTATGGTCTTGCTAATAAAGCTATCAATTGAATTGAATAGAGAGATAGAGAGGTGAGATAGAGAGAGAGAGAGGGGGGGAGAGAGAGAGGGGGGAGAGAGAGAGAGAGATTTGTCATGCTTTGCTTTCTGTTATTTTGTCTGTAAGACGTTGCTTTTGTCGGGACCCCCTTGAAAAGGACATGGTGCATCTCAAGGGGTTTCTCCTAATGAATACATGTCTATATAAGGGGTAGATTTGACTCTAAAGCTATGTTTTAATTGCATTGTTCAGGTGCTGGTGTTGCGTTTGAGGGACAGCGTGGTGCGTTTAGGGGAAGAACTGGAGCAGAGCGCCGAGGCCGAGGCGAGGGAACGAGAAAACGCCAAATACTACCAGCAGCGTCTGCAGGACATGAGGGTGGAGGCGGAGGATCTGGTCCAGAGAGAGCAGGGCAGCAGCCGCAGGCGCATGGAGCTGGTACACACACACACACAACGTTACACAACATCACACAACATTACACAAACACAACATCACACAAACACAACATCACACAACATTACACAAACACAACGTTACACAACATCACACAACATCACACAAACACAACATTACACTTGAAACACAACATTACACAACATTAAACAAACACAACATTACACAACACCTGAAACACACCTAAACCCTTCACACTCATCATGGGGAAAACAGGCTGCAACAGGCATGATTAACCTGTTCAACCCGGAGGCCCCGCCCCCTTCTTTTCACGAAACTGTGTCTCAAGGCAAGGCAAGGCAAGGCAAGGCAAGTTTATTTATATAGCACCTTTCAACACAAGGCAATTCAAAGTGCTTTACAAAAAAGTCTCAGGGCTTCTTAACATTTAAAAACCTATTAATCATACCCACTTAACGGGAAGAAACTCAGCTAACTGACGATATGAACCATTTTTACCGAAACAAAACACAAGTCTCACAAGAAGCGTCTAAATGAGCCCTGAGCGAAAAAATGCTAACACACTTTTTATACCTCGAGCACAGAACTCTAGGTATAATAAATACCCTTATTACATATCGGATCTGCACAACAAGATATTGATTAGCAAGCTGAGATTCCACAGATTCTAGGGGTATAAGTATCATCACTGAGCGATCAGAACTTGCAACAGGGGAAGCAAACACAGACATCACAACACGGAGCTTTACGGAGCAAAAATGGGACATTGTCTTACCTATGCTGTTGTTCTGATCAAAAGTCGTGTTCAATGGCATCAAAACGATAACAACGCCGCTGAAGGTTAATCCATAGGTTAATCCATAGGTTAATCCATAGGTTAATCAATGTGTCTGAAATGATTACTGATAATCCATCTTCATATTTATGTCAATAACGGAGTTTTCATATATAGTTGAGCTACCTGAGTGTATGACAGCTTCCGGGTTTGGGCATTCTGGCTACGCATCACTCATTCACCAATGGGTCATGTTTAGATGGATTTTAGGAACCTCCCCTCGATTCTATTGGCTCTAACGGTCAGAAAGAGGTGTCAACCATCAAAATCGAACAAGGGGGCCAGAGATATGGAAAATCCACCCAAATGACCCCAGAAGTGGGTTTTCTTTTCTAAACCTCTCTAAAAAGGTCAAAGGTCACTTGTTTTGCATCAATCTTGATACAGGGTACTTATTATATGTTGTACTTTGGATTCCTAAAGCTTTTAGTCTACTATCCCATCATCCAAGGGTAGTTTTCACTATAAGTCATGTGTTTTTTTTTGGACGGACACTATCATTTACATTTTTTTACTATGTTCAATCTGAATTTACTTTAAAATAAAAAAAATCTATATTGATCCTGACTTTTCTACATCCAACTCACAGGTGTAACCTTGCTTTGAGAAAAAAGATTATTAATTTACCCCTTTTAGAAGTGAAGTTATAGTCATTTGTTCTGGGAATGTCATTTCTAGCCTGAGGCCTGAAAAACAGGCTCGGGGCTTAACTGGTTAACTAAATTATAAAATATCAAAAAGATACATTAAAACAAAGACTTTAGAAATCTTAGGAAGGATCCCTCTTGCTGGATGGAAAGACAAGATACAAATACTGTCATTTAAACAACTTTTAGTTTAAGAAAATCATGTTACAATAATTTAGTTTGTTGAATAAATGCGTGAATAAGCATCAGAAAAATACCTTTGCAGAGAACATGAGGAGAAGATTGAAACCACTATGTATGTATGAATGCAAATATAGAAGCCTGGTTAGCTTAGCTTAGCACAAACACTGGAAACAGATGGAACAGTTAGCGTGGTCTTTGCACAGAGATGGAGATAATTGTTGGGAGATTTCTGCAGACATCACTGTGTGTGTGTGTGTGCGTGCGTGCGTGCGTGCGTGCGTGCGTGCGTGCGTGCGTGCGTTAAAGAGCACACACCCTTCCTCCAGGCTGTGAGGGAACAACATCTCCTCTGTTCAAAAACAACAGCTGCTGCGTTTTCTGCAACATTACCAAACATCACTTTCATTTCTGCACAGGTTTGATCAGAGGCTTTCTGCACTTTAATACCTTCAAAACTTCTTCTCTGAGACGCTGAGGTGTTTGAAAAGCTTATTGCAGTAATCATGTTTAAGTTCAACAGCATTTGGTCAGAATATAGACTGTAGAGATCCGCTCTGAGTTCAGTAAATGAGCTGATGCACACCTCGATTCAAACATATGTACCTTTAATACATCTGATATGATCTTTGGTATCATTACGGTCAGTTATAGGTCATGAATGCAGCGTTTATGTATAATTAATAGACAATCAGTACATTCAATTAAATATATGTGAACTCTAAGAAGGCACAGCTTTCACTGTATCATCTGAGCCTCATATTGATGATTCTTTTGTATTATTTGGAGCTATTTTAGGTCTTATTTCTATCGTTAATACAAATAATAATAGTCATATTAATTTAAAAAGAAAGGACTCCATTATATCCACAAAATAGAAAGAAGCCTTTAATAAATGTTCTGCTGGTTACCCTCAGAGTTTCATGTTCCTCCTCAGAGCAGATTTACCCGTGACCTCTGAGCAAACGAGAAGGAGCCTCAACAATTATTCAGTTATTAGCACAAAGAGACACACACACACACACACACACAACACACACACACACACACACACACACACACACACACACACAACACACACCACACACACACAGAGACACGCACACACACACACACACACACACACGCACACACACACACACACAGACACACACAACACACACACACACACAACACACACACACACAGAGACACACACACACACACACACACACAGAGACACACACACACACACACACACACACACACACACACACACACACAGCCTGCTGCATGAATAGACATATTCATACACACACACATGTTCACACACTCCTCCTCCGCCCACCTCTTAACGTCATATCTCGCTCATCCTGCTTTCTCTCTCTGACTGTGATTAATCCTCATTGTCTCTTCAAGGTTATGGACACACACACACGCACACACACACACATTCCTACTTGGTTATGTGTCTCTATGACAACCGCTGCACCCACACCCGTCTCCTCAAAGCCAACAAGCCAATAACTTTGAAAGCCTAGATGCCATTGTGTGTGTGTGTGTGTGTGTGTGTGTGTGTGTGTGTGTGTGTGTGTGTGTGTGTGTGTGTGTGTGTGTGTGTGTGTGTGTGTGTGTGTGTGTGTGTGTGTGTGTGTGTGTGTGTGTGTGTGTGTGTGTGTGTGTGTGTGTGTGTGTGTGTGTGGACATGCCATTGGACTCGGTGTTTGACTGATGAGGTAATATAGGGTGGAGGAAGGTAATTGCTGAGGCAGATTGGGCCGCGGGGTTTTTACAGGTTGTCGGGGAAATGAAAACACACATCTGGCCTCATGAAGGTGAGCGTGTCAACAAACACCCTTTAAAGGAACAACGAGTGTGTAGGTTACAGTTTGTAAACACACAATTAAAAGGTTAAACAGGGATTAAAGAGGACATGTTCTGCTGATGTTCAGGTATATCAGTATGTAGTGTCTCTACTTTAAAGAGTCCTCTCCTGCTGATGTTCAGGTGTATATCAGTATGTAGTGTCTCTACTTTAAAGAGTCCTCTCCTGCTGATGTTCAGGTGTATATCAGTATGTAGTGTCTCTACTTTAAAGAGTCCTCTCCTGCTGATGTTCAGGTGTATATCAGTATGTAGTGTCTCTACTTTAAAGAGTTCTCTCTTGCTGATGTTCAGGTGTATATCAGTATGTAGTGTCTCTACTTTAAAGAGTCCTCTCCTGCTGATGTTCAGGTGTATATCAGTATGTAGTGTCTCTACTTTAAAGAGTCCTCTCCTGCTGATGTTCAGGTGTATATCAGTATGTAGTGTCTCTACTTTAAAGAGTCCTCTTCTGCTGATGTTCAGGTGTATATCAGTATGTAGTGTCTCTACTTTAAAGAGTCCTCATGTGTGTTTTGCAGGAGATGCAGGTGGAGGAGCTGAGCGCCGTCAGACAGGCATTACAAGCCGACCTTGAAACATCGATCCGTCGCATCGTTGACCTTCAGGCGGCGCTGGAGGAAGTGGAGTCGAGCGACGAGAGCGACTCTGAGAGGTAACTTGACTTTAAAGTAAACATCTTCCTCCTCAAACATGATCATTTCTGTTTCTGTAAACTCACCCTCTCACCGCTCTGCCCTTCACTCCAGTGTGAGAACTGCTGTGACGTCCTTGGGTCAAAAGAAAGACCTGTAAGACCCTGAATGTGTGCGTGCGTCCGTCCGTGCGTGCGTGCGTGCGTGTGTGCGTGCGTGTGTGCGTGCGTCCTGGACATTGCATCAGGCCTTGAAGTGTCATCGTTTAAACCTCTCGTTATGATAACGCTGAATTTTACATTGAAAAGAAGGATAATTCTGGTCTATTTGTAGTTCTGGCCATCATTTTTATCATTGATAATCAAATTAAACCCCAAAATGTTATAATTACTTAAAGAAATGTGTTGGAAAGATGGCCAAAACTATGATAATTGGACTATAATGTCCGTAATTATCCTTTAAAGTGACTCTTGAAATCGGCTATGTGCATGGTTACTCAGTCCTTGCACCACAGCATTTACTCCATTTAAACCCATCATAAATCGATGTTTAAAAAAAAAGTTTTCTAATTCAAAGGCATAAGAAATGGTTAAAAATGTGAATAACAACGTGCTGTAATATATGTCGTACATGCTAATATATATAAGTGTCTTTATGCTGATATACAAATCAATGAATGGAAATCAATGGTTGCCTGGGTGATGAGGAAAGTAGCATTCATTGATATGAATTATACAGCATATTTCTATAATGATGGCATGAGTATTGGCACGTCTGCAATCCCATGTGTCGCCAGCTCAGATTTGTGAGTAGATGGTTAGCATTAGCGATAGCGTCTTCAACCTATTATTTATTCTACTAACTGGTTGGTTTTATCCTCGTGGCTTTGACATGCTTAATGGGAATACAAAGCTTCTCCCAGATGTTGTTATTATTATTATTATTTTGGCTGGAAAATAATGCAAGAGCATGGAAAGGAAAAGACAAACTTGATGATTCAACTGCGACTCAAACGACATTATGGCCTTTGACAGAAAGAAAACAACACATTTTGGTTGTTGAACTATTTTGAGATAAAAGTCAGAATCCGTGAAAAAAAAGTCACAATTCTGAAATTTTGAGAAAAATCTTTTTTTTTAAGTCTGATTTCTGAGATTTTGAGAAAAAGTCATATTTCACGAAAAAGTCAGATTTCTGAGATTTGGAGATAAAAGTAATATTTCTGAAAGGAAAAAAAGTCAGAATTTTGACATTATAAAAAAAAGTCAGAATTTTAGGGGGAAAAGTCATAATTCTGAAAATGTTGACTTTTCTCAGAATTCAACTGCGACTCAAACGACAGTATGGCCTCTGACAGAAAGAAAACAACACATATTGGTTGTTGAACTATTTTTGAGATAAAAGTCACAATTTTGAAATGTAGAGAAAAAAGTCAAAATTGTGAGATTTCTGAAAAATTCTAAATTGTGACTTTTCTCAGAATTCACTCAAACTGCAGTATGGCCCTCAACACATATTGGTCGGTGAACTACGGTTTCAAAGCCTCAAGTTTGGCCATTTGAATGTTTTTTAACCCCAGAAATGAATCGAGAGGGTGCTTAAAACATGCATAGAACAACAAATAGCTTATAATTAACGTTCATGAAGTTGAACGGAGTCGTTGACAGTTTGTCTGCAGAATGGAAGTGCCTGCATGCGCGTGGTGAAGCTAATGTTCTGCAGAGTCTCCGTTGTGATAAAGTGTGATTCCTCTCTGCAGCGACTCGGTCTCTAGCGTCGGGACAGAGGACGTTGGAGAGGGGATCCGTCATTGGTTAGGAGTTCCCAGAGGGGGGTCCCGTGGGGCGGGGTCTCCCAACGGCAGCAGTACCATCAGCAGCCAGGGGGGGCGCCAGTCTTTGGCCGACACCATGAGCACCTACAGCTTCAGGTAAGCTTGTTAATTTTAACAATCGGTTAAAATATTATTATTATCTGTACGATTCATTTGATATCATTTGCTGTATTTGTGCACACACACCAAAGTCATAATTCCAAAAAAAGTCATAATTTTTAGACTTTTTAAAAAAGTCATAGTTTTGAAAAAAAAGGCATAATTTTGCAAAAAGGCATAATTTTGAGATTTAGAAAAAAAGTCAACATTTTATAAAAAAAAAGCCCGAATTTTGAGATTTGGAAAAAAGTCAGAATTTTGAGATTTAGAAGTAAAAGTCAGAATTTTGTAAAAAAAAAGCCCGAATTTTGAGATTTGGGAAAAAGTCAGAATTTAAAAAAAGTCAACATTTTGAGAAGAAAAAAAAGTCAGAATTGTGCGATTTTGAAAAAAAAGTCAGAATTGTGCGATTTTGAAAAAAAGTCAGAATTCTGAGAACTCAGAAAAAAAGTCACAATTGCTAGTCAGCATTTTTAGATTTAAAAAAGTCAGAATTCCGAAAAGTCAGAATTTAGAGATTTTGAAAAAAAGTGAGATTTAAAAAGAAAATATCCACATTTTGAGATGCTAAGAAAAAAAATCTCAATTCTGATATTTTGAACAATAAATTCGGAAAAAAAGGGTCTCTCTCACTCTCTGAAGGTCTTGTGTGGAAAAAAAGTCAGAATTCTGAGAAAAAAAATCAAAAATATCAGATATATCAGAAATCAAAGTTCTGTAAAAAAAGTGTTTCTCTCTCTGTGAAGGTCTTGTGAGAATCCCGATGATGATGACGGCTCTGAGTTGGGGGGCAGCAGGGCTGGAGGCAGCAGGGCTGGAGGGGGGGGCAGCAGGGCTCCGAGTCGGGCCCCCTCCTCCTCCGCCCTCTCAGAGCTGCTCGACGGCCTCCGGAGACGCAGAGCCGGCGGAGACGCAGACGACGGATCCGGGAGCGCCGTCTCTCTTCCCGTTTATCAAACAACCGCCGCCTCCACCCTCAGACGCCGAGCCTCCGCCCTTTCTCTCGGCCCCCGGTGACCTCCAGGAGCCCCGATCCAGCATCCTCAAACCCCCGTCCCCGATAATGCCTCGCTCCATCAGCGCTCGCTCCATCAGCGACGCTCAAACACCTGGAGCTAAACTCTCTCGCTCCAACTCCAGCAGTGATTCCCTCTCAGGCGTCCCGTCGCTGCCTCACCTCTCCTCTTTGGGGTCAAACCTCGCCTCCCGCCATCAAACTCCCTCTCTTTGCATCCCAGAAGAAGATCCAGATCAACCACAGCGATCCCGAACCACCTCCATGCAGCAGCGCTCCCCTCAACCCCCGAGGAGGTGCATGCTGGGGAGTCTTTCCACAGAAGATGGAGGGGAAGCATCCCTGGGTTCAGAACCGATGGTGTTTCAGAACAGGAGGCTAATGGAGGGTCGGGAAGACGCGGCGTTAGATATTCTGCCCGCCATCCGGAGAGCGAAGTCCACCAGCAGCCTGACGGGATCTGAGCGAGGAGGACGGAGGGCTCTGAGCGTTCACTTTGGAGAGCTGCCCCCCTCCACCCGGAGCAGGAAGGGATCTGAAACGGACTCCTCGTCATCGGGGGGGTCAGCGGGGAGTTCTCAGGACGGAGGAGGAAGAAGACGGAGGCTCGATGGTCCGCAGGGAGAGAGGCTGGAGGCCGAGGGCAGCGAGGCCGGAGACGTGGCTTCCATCATGAAGAAATACCTGAAGAAGGACACCGACTGAGAAGAGAAGAAGCGCCCTCAGGTGAGGAGACACCATTCAAAGTATTTAATTTAGTTTGCCTCATTAGATCTTTCTTGCCCTAGTGCATACATGGTTCGCTTCATGTCACATTTTCAACTTTATGATAGTTAGCCGTGTTATTGGTGCCACTTTGTCCAATACTTTGGTTTAACATCAAATACCTTTTCCCATATTCTAGTTAGCAGATTTTCAGTATGATTGCACGCTCAGACTTTTGAGAAAAATATGATGTCATTAATTGTATAAGTCGGAATTTTTTCGTTTTTTGAAAAAAGTTGGAATTTTGAAAAACAAGTCAGAATTCTGAGATTTAGAGAAAAAAACTCCGAATTCTGAAATTTAGAGAAAAAAACTCAGAATTCTGAGATTTTGAAGAAAAAGTCAGATTTTTTTGAGATTTTCTTTTTAAAAGTCAGAATTCTGAGATTTTGAGAAAAAAAGTCTCAGTTCGGAGATGTTGAGAAAAAGTCGGAATTCAGACACAAAAGTCAAACAAATGTTGACTGAGAAATCCTAAAACCTGTGACATAACTTTCTCCAAAATGAGAGCTTGTACTTGACTAGACAAGATACAAGTCTCCTACTCTGTGATATTTGAGTCACTGGTTAAACTCTCAGGGTGTTTCTCAATGTCGAGGACGCTTCCTTGGTAGGACATGTCCCTCCAGTCAGGTCCTTCAGAAGCGAGGCAAGAATCCTTCCTAGCCTCGGAAAACGAAGGACGGTGGAACAGGTGTGCAGGTGTGCGTCATATGCGATAATGGAGCGCGATTTCCGCCAAAGATTTTGGAAATTGGTCCGTGCGCAAAGCATTGTGGGGATTTTAATACCGCGGAGGATACACATGTGCAGCCTCGAGATTTCCCGCAACGAAGGACGCCGGCCTCGGTAGAATTCCAAGCATGCTGGACATTGGAACAGTCCTTTGGCGGCACTCGACGACGTAGCATCCTTGAAATAGTGGCTCTGTAGCAGCCTTCCTCGACATTGAGAAACACCCTCAGTGATTTTTTAAATACAAGGACTCATCTGCTTCTCTGATTCTCTCCTGACCTTCTTGTCTCCGTCTTTCTTCTCCTTCTTCCAGCCTCTCTGTGTGAGAGCTCCACAGACTGAAGGCTGAACCAAAACACTTCAGAAGTCCACAAGGAGTGACTTTAACAAAGCCACCTGAAAATACATTTGCACTCAATCAACTGTATTTGCAGATAAGAAACCGTTTGTATTTGAATAAAAAAAAGAAACTAACCCTTTTCTTTGTGATTTTATTCCATGAACTTCCCACTTTTCACATCATCTTTTATTTGACTAGCAGAAGTACTTCTTATGAAATGCTAATTCTCTCATTTGCAACTTTTTCTGTTTATGCATCAAAAGTTATTCATTTGAATGCAGCTATCTGTAAAACGTTCAGTGAGTATTCAGGGTTTCATTTCTACACTGAGATTCAGTTGGTTTGGTAAGAAATTAAAATCAATGTTTATATGGCGTAATTTAAATTAAATACACTGTTTTAATTAGGGCTGTTTAATTCTGAAAACTGGAAGTTCACATACACTGTTTTAACTTAAAACTGTTTTATTCTGAAAACCGAATGTTCAGAACATGACTTCTGGTTTCCGGCAGTAAATATTGTCACTTCCTGTTAGCATTAGCATGTGGCTAATATTACGTTTTTTAAGAAAAAGTTAATTTAAGGAGAAATGACACGTGGTGTTGTACACTAAACACACTGTCTTTAACCCTCACTTATTGACACTGCAATACTTTTATTAGGGAATGTTTAAATAACCACAGACATTAGAATATTGTAAATGTAATCAGAAAATGGTAGGATGTTTCTTGGACCCGCCCCCATCTAGACCGGCCAATAGGAGAAGACTACAGTTGATAACAGGGGAATCAAGCCGAGAATCGATCTCTTTTCCGCCCAGCACCCCACGCGCACGGGTATCAGCTGACCTGATGGGGGGAGCCACGCCACTCGCATATTTTCATTTGTATATCATCGCATTATTTGTTTAATTAAACGCTGTTAACTTTTATAAGCTTCCTTGGACTCTTTTCAGCTAATCCTGCTCTCAGGTTTAAATCACCGTCAACAGTTTTCAAGATATTTCCTCCAAAACACAAGAATCTACCAACTCTTCCACATTGGAAAACACCAAATGATATGCAGTGTTTGCAGTACATGTACTCAAATGAAGAGGTAAGTATGTACCGTCATTATAGCCTTTTTGGACAACAGTTAAAAAATGGCTTGGCTGATTTGGACAGTTTTGTAGTGGTTTTGGGGGTTATTGAGGATACTGAATCCATTTCTGACATTTTCAGGATCAACAATGGCAGTTTTAACCAGAAAATGCCAATATCTGTACTCTTGGTGGGCTGATTTTGATACATTTTGGGTCGATTTGGAAGCTTTAGGGGACCCTGGATCATTTGGATTGGACCTATTGTTTATTTATTTGAAAAATAAATGTCCACGGTAGAGATAATAATGTTCATCTTGTGCTCTCTATATCATGGTAGTCAAAATCAGCCGATAGAGAGTACATTATGTCCACTTTCTGCTTAAAACGGCTATTTTATATCCTGGAAATGTCAGAAATGGATTCAGCATCCTCATTAGCAGGGGCGGATCTACCGGGGTGGCATGGGGTGGCAAAAAATAGCATTGCCACCCCAGTTGGCATCTTTGTTTTGAAAGAAAAGTTGTGGCTCATCGGACATTTATGAAAATATCTAATGTCCGAGTGCAAGTGAATGCAGCACAAGCCGCGAGTCTTGTAACCCCTCCCTTTGTTGAAGGGAGGGGTTACGCGAGCTTGGAAATATGATTGACGGCGATTTAATTTGAACGGGGGACGGCACAAAACGAGAAGCATTCGGACCCAAGTACTGAAGGAATGAGGTATTTGCGGTCTACAATGACAGAGAAGAGACTGTCAAGTTTGGCTGTACTCAGCATTGAATCAAAACGCACTAAAGCTTTGGATCTTAATAAGTTTGTGAGGCGTTTTGCTGAACAAGATGGTAATCGCCGCATTCAGCTGTAATAGGCATGCAGAGGCTGTAGTTTCCATAGTTTCCCCACAGCAGCAGCAGACGCACAAATGACGTCCACTGGCGCATCATAAACACGTCAGATAGTGAAAGTATGTGAGGAAGGGAGTGAGGAAGGAGGTTCAGTCTCCTGGATCACGTTAGGTAGGGGTGTCTCTGGGAAGGGGACACAGCGGGAGACGTCTCCTCGGAGGAACTCACCTCCATGGACTCTAAGGAATCTGAGGTTTCTTCTTCTCCATTGAGACACATCTGTTGGAGGGTAAAAAGAAAACATTTAAAAGAAGGTTTCAACCACAAATCATCATTTTGGTGTCAATTAAAGAGGACGTGTATAGTTTCAGGTTCATAGTTAGTGTGAATGCACAGAATAAGGATTTCTATATAAAAGCCCCCCCCCACTACACTACGAGACGACGACTACTCCGACTACGACTACGATTCAGACGACGACGACGAGACGACGACGACGACGCGACGACGACGACGACGGCAACGACGACGACGACGGAGACGACGACGACGAGACGACGACGACGACGACGACAACGACGACGACGACGACGACGACGGCAACGACGACGACGACGACGACGACGACGACGACGACGACGGCAACAACGACGACGGACGACGACGACGACGAGACGACGACGACGAGACGAAGACGGCAACGACGACGACGACGACGACGACGACGACGAGACGACGACGACGACGACGCAACAACGACGACGACGAGACGACGACGACACGACGACGACGAGCCGACGACGCAACAACGACGACGGGAAGACGACGACGACGACGACGGCAACGACGACGACGACGACGGCAACAACGACGACGAGACGACGACGACGAGCGACGACGACGACAACAACGAAGACGACGAGACGACGACGACGACGCAAGACGACGACGACACGACGAGACGACGATACGACGAAGACGAGACGGCAACAACGACGACGACGACGACGACGACGACGACTACGACGAAGACGACGGCAACGACGACGACGACGACAACGACGACGACGACGAGACACGGACGACGACGACGACGACGACGACGAAGACGACGGCAACGGAACGACGACGACGACGACGACGACGACTACTACGACGACGACGGCAACTTACGACGACGACGACAACGACGACGAACGACGACGACGACGACTACGACGACTACGACGACGACGCGACTACTACTACTACTACTACTA